GTGACATGAGTTTGATAATGGCTTGTGAAATTTTCTGCAGTCTAAAGTTTCATGTTGTCTGCACATGTACTTTCTTTGGAAACACAATTTGTTTTGTCAAACTATGATCAAGATAGTGACTCTGATTGATTCACATATTGTATTGACAAATGACTATTGACATTGTCTCAGTCTCCAATATTTCAGTGGGTCATGCTTTGGAAATGACAATAAATTTTTATTACCCAACCCTTGAATTGTTTTGTTTTTCATTTACCCAACCTTTTACTCACTCAAAATTTTGTTTACCCAACCCTTTTCTCTTCGGTGCCACCCCCCCACCATAAATAATGACCGGTCCCTTATTTCATTAAACTTTTTTGTTAAACATTTATGGCGTTCCAATTATCTAGTTTTGGTTTCAAAGTTCACTCCATTAACTGTTGAATTATTAATCCTTTGACACCTATATACTTATATTCCCAATTTTGAAATTTTTAGCCAATGTTTGTTCGGCCGACATGTTGTTGGAAATTGGACTGGGACGAGCTGGAATCAAACCAACAAGATTTTAATTCCTTGTGTAAAGTTCTAAATGAGAAGGTAGGCAGTATTGTCCAACCAACCCAAAATATTCCCAATACAATTACCAACTACCACATTATTGAACATTCTATGTCAGAGGCGGATCTACCTGTGGGGTAGACCCCCTCCCCCTTCAGTGGTGTCCAACATCCTCCCTTGAAGAAAACTCTGGTATTCCATATTTGAGTTGTGCATACTACTTATTATATTGAAACGATTGATTCTTGAATACGCGAGGAAGTATTCAAGCACCAATACGGTGGATGACCATATAACGTAGCACTAGATTTTTGCCCGAAATATAAGTCGTGTGAGGATAAATTTAACAAATATATATAGTGCTCAGAATGCAGGAAATGGCTTCAGGATTTCCAATTATTTAAAAAAAATTTCTGGCGAGCATGACGCCGGACCCCACTCCCAGTAGTAATACACCCCCTCTGGAAATCTTCCAGCCATTTGAAGACGTGCATGAGAAGTGATACTCAGCAAATTAGGTCAGCGCTACAGCAGAACTTTCTCAATAATAAAGCCACTATTTCAAGCTAACCAAACAGTGTTAATAATAGTCCACAAACTTTCGCGTTACAACCGTATTTAATGATTTTATTTTGGTCGTTGTCGTTGCTTTGTCCTTCATTGTAAGGTCTCTGATCACTCATACACACGAAAACGAGTTTTTATGACCAAAGTGCATGACGCATTTTATATTATTCCATGTATATTATTCCTTTCATAATACTTATGGAGTTTTGACGAATTTCTCCTCGCGCCACGATGGTGAATTTCGTTGTTTGTGATAAGATAATTGGCCTGCAGTAATTCCATGGAAACCTAAGGGACTGGTCATAAAGTAACTGCTAGGGTGAGCTGGAGGTAAATCACAAATTTTGCCAATAAGTTTGGTGACCCATCTTGGGATGTCGATAAAAATTTCAAAGCCCATCTAATCTTACAAAAAAATTTTCATGACCCACCCAATCTAAATTGGGAAAATACACTTTTATAATAAAAAAAACTTGCAGGTATGAACATTGTAAATATATACACGGCACTGTATTGATATACATAATTCCACCAAACTTGACCAACACATTGATACTGAGCTGCTCTCCAGTCGGTTGTATTTGCTGTGATTCGACCACTTCTTCTTGTTGTATAAACAAAGTACTGGCTTCAATAGCATTATTTGCATTTGATAATTTGGACAGTTTTGTTTACTTTTATTATTAATATCTTTATTAAATTTGAAGTAGACACGCATGGGTTTTTGTTTGGTTGCCCAATCGTGGACATACAAAAAAATTGGTGGCCCATCAAAACTGCCCAAAGATTTTCCATGGCCCATCCCAAATCACTCCAGCCCACCCTAGCAGTTACTTTATGACCGGTCCCTAAGTTGATCTATTTTTTGGCAGGATTTGTCTCTTATACTGAAATCAGAAGTGGACGACGCCAGCGCGTCTACACATCCTCAAGCTTGCTACCTGATCATGGCGTCTTCAAACTCAACTTTGCTTATCAAACCTGTAGTCATGCAAGAACTTATGTTACCTTCAAATTTCCCTTCACTTTCCGAGAAAACTTCTCAACAATCAACTGAGATAATCGAGGACTGTTTAGATATGGTATGTCGTTTGCATTCATTGCTATACTGTAGCTACTTACCATCGTGTTAGTTTACCATACCATACCATACCATACCATACCACACTATACCATACCATGACATACCATACCATACCATATCATACCATACCATACCATACCATGACATACCATATCATACCATA